TGACTCACAGTCTAAGGAAGGATTGAATCCCCATCCAAATTTTCTCTTCCAATTCCTCATATAGAAAGGTATTCTTCATATTGAACTTATGCAAGTACCAATTAAAGCTAGCAACTCAAGATAGTAGGATATGTACCATACTTCACCTTTGCAACAGATGCAAAGTTCTCTTAATAGTTAATTCCATAAGTCTGCGTATATCTTTTAACAACTAATCTTGCATTATATCTCTTAAGTTCCATCAAACTTATATTTGATAATGACTACCCATCTGCATCCTATAGGTCTTTTTCCCTTAATAGATCCACCACCTCTCAAGTCTGATTTTTCTTAAATACCTATATTTTAACATCTATAACATTTTCATTTTTTATCTCAAAAAAAAAACATCTATAACATTTTCTCATTCCTCCCTGGTTAAAGCATCAGATAAATGTTTTGGAACGATACCATGTTCAGGCTCATAAGAAAGTTTTTGTGAGTTTGGGAATAGTTTTCAAATGATATAAAAGTTGAAATTGGATAGAGTGGATATTTTGTGCATTCCTTAGTCATTTTTCTGAGTACAATAGGTAAATCAGTACAAAAAAGACAGTGATTCTCATAGTTTATCTCACTTCTAGCAATCAGTTAAGATTCTTGAACCTGTTTTCAAACATAATTGGAGTTTCCTTCCTTCAATTCACCTAAACAAAATATGGGTCCTGTATAGACTGCAGGTCAGGCTTATCTAAGTACGATAGGTAAATCAGTATCAGAAAAATAGTGATTCTCAGTGTTTATCTCACTTCCAGAATCCGATTCGGATTCTTGAACTTATTTCAAAAAGTAATCAGAGCTTTTTCTTCTTGAATACACCTAGACAAAATGTTAGTCCTCTACATGTTGAGGATCAGGCTTATCTTGTGAGGGTCTTGAGAGGGTTTCAGTTCATTTCATGGATTCTAATTTTCTGGTAAAGTGATGGGCTTAAATAATGAAGGCAAATTGTCTGATGGCAAAGTGTATGAGGACAGGGGAGGAATGTCAGAAAATGAGCTCCTGAGTCTCCCTTATCTTTTAGTGTAGCCTCCCTCTGAAGATAAGGTTGGTTAAACAATGACTTGGTCTTAAAAAAAGTCACAGCAGCTAACACATAGAATTTCCTGGTGGATGGGTAGTAACACTTAATATCTTTTTCAAGTTGAGGAATCCCATGCAAAGACACCTGATTGCCCTAAGGTTAAGTTTCTCTCTGTGGCTGATGTATGTGAACATAAGGAATACACCCAAAGACACAAGGTATAAGGCTATTGGTGATGCGTACTTCTGGAAAGAAAGTAGCTTCCATTGGACTTCAGAATTCTAGTACTCTAAATAGAAACCGATTGACAAGATATGTGGCAATTAAACACAACTTCCCTCCAGTACTATTTAGGTACATAATTTTAAAATAAGAAGGCACATGGGCTAGTAAGCAAATGGTTGTTTCTCCGTTTTGAGACTCTATTTTGTTGTAGAATATATACACAGGAAAACTCATGAATAATTCCTTCTTTCTGAAATAAGGTGATTAACATTTGGTTAAAGTAATATCAAACATTATTAGTTCTAAAACATTTAATTGTCACCCCAAATTGGATTTTAATCATGATGAAACTGGGTAATATTATGACTGAGTTCAATTTTAGATTTCAATAGAAAAATCCAAATAAGCCAAGTATAGTCATCAATAAAGAAAATAAACCACTGTGCATCAGAAAGAATATTAGCGGGACCCCAAGCATCACTATGAATTAACTGAAAGGAAAAATAACTTCTTTTATTACTAGGAATAGAAGTTACACTAGTGTTTTACTAGTTCACATAAATTGCAGTGTAAATTTTTGTTACTATAATTAGAAAATAAAGAGGGAAAATGACCCTAAGAATGAAGAAAGAATGGTGCCCTAATCTCTTATGATACAACCATAGCTTGTCTAATGTAGTGGTAGAGAGAATGGTGTTTGGTACATCATGTGTATCCCAGAAGCATAACCCATCCTAAGTACACATCCAATCATCGTCCCCGAATTCAAATCTTGAAATTCACAAAGGGAATGAGAAAAGATCACTTTGCAATTAAATCACGAAATAATTCGTTTACTAATATAAACTTTGTACACAATTTGGATTCATGAACATCCCAAAGAGTGAGGTAGGCGTCAAGTCTTATAATGTCAATTTTTGCTACTATGGTTAATGAACCATAAGCAGTGACACACTCCTATTGCTGGAACATGGAGCGTAAGTCTCAAACAATTTAGGAGAGTTTATCATATGGTCAATAGCTCTTGAGTCCACTATCCATGAAATATCAAGAATTTGTTTGCGGCATCTAAATCATGAAAAATAGGAAATATTTCTGAATGTGCTATGAAACCTGTACCTTTAGGTTTTTCAAGTTGCTCAAATCACATTCGTAATCACCAGATTTATGTCTTGAAATCACAAGTCTCTATGTTCTTTTCCTCCTGAGCTACATATGTTTGTCCATGATTTTTCTTGTATCCCTAATCCTTATAAGATGTGGTCGGCTTCTCATGGAGCTTTCAACATTTTTCCTTGCTGTGCCTTGGTTTGTTGTAAAAGGTACACCAGAGCGTTTACCTGTTGTCTCCATTAGCAGTGGAGGTCTCACTATGATTTGGTTCCTTCTCTAATTGTCGAGGTTTGAAATTTTTACTTACCATGGTGGAACCTTCAATTGTGCAGGATTCAAGCATAACTACCCTTTTACTTTCCTCTCTGCTGATTAAAGATATTACTCCATTGAGAGGCGCTATCTCTTATTTCTCCAGAATCTAGACTCTTACCTGATCATATTTCTCTTTGAGCTCTAATTGCCTTACTGCAATTTGGTTCCTTCTCTAATTGTTGAGTTTTGGAATTTTTACTTACCATGGTGGAACCTTCAACTGTGCAGGATTCAAGCATAACTACCCTTTTACTTTCCTCTCTGTTGATTAAAGATATTATTCCATTGAGAGGAGCTATCTCTTATTTTCCAGAATCTAAACTCTTACCTAATCATATTTCTCATTGAGCTCTGCCATGGTAAACTCTATCCTTTTCAACAAATTTCTTCAAAGCGGTTGTGTCTTTACTACTTTCTATAGTGATACTATGATACTAATCAAGCTCCGGCCATATGTCTTTCAAAAGGTTTGAATACTCAGTCACTGTCTTGTTACCTTATTTAGTTGTACAAGTTTTAACAGTCAAATCATACATCTGTGCTGCATCTTTCCATTTAGAATGAATCTCCTGGATTGAATCCCAAATATCATTTGTTGTGGGCAGGCACATAATTGGCTTACTGATCTCTGGTGTCATAGAATTCCAGAGCCAAACCATAATCATATAATTTTCCTCATCCCAAGCATAAATAGTTGGATCTCCTAACTTTGGTCAAGTTTCTAAGAGGTGGCTAAGCTTTCCTCGACCCTTGAGAGTGGCTCAAATTAATTGTGACCAACTCAGATAATCCTTGCTATTGAAGCGATAGGCAACCTGAATTGGTTGAAATTGACTGCTATTTTGTAACAAGTTTCTCATTAGGAAGTTGGTGTCTATAAATTGAAACGTAACATCCAACATTCTTCAAGACATTTTAGGGCTTACCGGACTGATGGTGACTAGCTAGATAGATTCAAGCACTGTTGCAGAAAGCTATGCAACTGGTGGGGCAGAGGCTGGTGCAGCAGAGGGCAGGTGTTCAACTAGGTGGTGTGGCAGCCAGGAGCAACAGGGAGGGCTGGACAACACAGACAAATGGTAGAGATGCGCTTGGACAGAAATGCGCGAGACTGAAGGCCAGTTGGGGGATTTTGGCATCGGCGATGAAAGCTAGTTTGACTGCTGCTAGTGGCCGGCAGTTATCACTGGTGACTAATCTAGGGCGGCCAACTATGAAGGCTAGCCTTACCTCTTTAGGTATTTTTTTTTTCTATTTTGACAATGAAGGCCAATTATGGCTTGTGAAAGAGTTTTGGGTTTTTTCAATCTAGTGCTCTGATATCATGCAGAAGAATGAATTGTTGTGTATTTTATTCAATATCAGGGACCAATATCTACAAGTCCCTAGCAATCATACAAGGAAACCTTATAAAGGTTATGCAGGCTATATTAATAGTATGTAATTTACCCTACTTTCCATACAAAGACACTTCCCAACAGCACACAAATTAGCACACAAAACAGAACATACTTTAGCTTCCTGTATGAATGAGCAAGATTGACCACAGTTGGTTCCCACGTTTCACTTAAAGGGCAGGGGATGTGAGCTAATGTCATCTCAAACCACCGCACAGCTTTATCATACCTGAAATCAAGTGTCGAAAATTTTGGTCCAAAGTATCAAGGACGATCCATTTTGATATGACTCATTTTACAAGAGAGAAGGAAGTGCCAATTGTAAAATTTTGGAGCACAAATAGAACTTACTAAGTATTGAACAAGGCCTTACTTCTTATATTTCATAACATGCACCAATTTCATTATTTATGAAGTTAATAGATCAGCCTCTCAAGAGTACAATTAAGGAATGATTCAGATAGTGCAATGAGCGAAAATTTCCTTACTCTTTCATATTATATGCAACAACTCCAAGTTCATTATAAACAAGGGGGTCCGAAGGGCAGATAGTTTTCGCCTGCATGAAAAACTGAAAAAACAACCGGATCAAAATACTGAATAATTATCAGCACTGAGATTATTCAATATTATTAAGATAGTGAAAATGGTATGCCTAATACCCACACTGAGCTGTTTCTAGAGACAACACAGAATCCAGGAAGAAAAACATCACAGGAACTACCAAAAAAACACTGATACATTTGGTTAAAAAAGTTAACGTTATGGAACATAAACACAATAAAAATATGAGAAAGACTGAATGAAGATATTGTTCACTAATTCTCTTTCCAATTCAACCTAAGTAATTTCGTACCTTTTACTGAGCTAAGTAAATAGAGAAACCCATCACCACAAATTCAAAACAAAAGGTTGAACTAGTTTAAGGGAAATTTTCAACACAAAAGGTCGATACAATTCCCCTCCCTGTGATGTAACCTTATTCCAATTCAAAGCTTGTGGTTTCTTCTATTAAGTTTAATATCCTGTGATTTAGTTTTTTACCATTTCACATTAGATTACTAACTTTTAGGCTATTCTCTTGTAATCTTTCTTTTGTTTTTCCTCCTAGTTTGGGTTTATTTTGCCTTCAATTTCCACATGTTAATTGATTATAAGACCAAACACGTGCTAATATCCTCTAAAAACCTAATGTTTTTATGTAAAGTAACAAAAAACTAAAGCACATTTAGTGAACTGTTACAAATATATATATATATATATATATATATATATGGTTTGAACTGGAATAAGATTAAAGCACATGAGATAAAACTGTACTTTTCCCTTAGTTGAATTGTGAGTCAAATGTGAAATTAATAAATCAGTAATATGGGATGAAAAAAAAATCTTATTTATCAATAGACAAAAAGACAAATATATTTTTGTTATGCTCCTATGCAAATATGACATACATTTTAGAATGAGACTAGACTTCATTTTCCAGAATGGATCATGATTCTTTACAAAATAAACTGAAAATAAACAATGAACTGAGATCTCAAATTCAAATTCCATTTCCCCCTCCCTCCAGAAAGGAAATCATAACATACGCTAATCTTGTAACATTTCAAGATCAGTCACCAAACAAGTCATTGCAGAAACATCCATTTGAAGACTATGTAATGTCCTGAATTTTGGAGATATCAAATTGAGTCATTCAGCTCCAAATATGTCAGCAAAACGTAATGGATCAAGACTCTATTAGAGAAGTTTGTTCAGTTTTGTATTTCAATTCTGTTTTAGGCATGTTCAGTTTCCTCTAGAGTAGCTGTGCAATTTCCAGCTGTAGCTAAGAATGTATGAAATGAGTTCCTTTGTTGTGCGGGCAGTTAAAGAAAATGTAGTGGACCAGCTCACAAGGTTTGAATCTGGTTTCCAGTGCCTTCCAAACAAAAAATATAAGTAGAAATTCTTGGAGAGCCATGATGAGTGTCAAAATGGAGAGGCCTCCATTCATGGGTCATGTCCGGCTCGTGAGGTCAAAGTGATTTTTTGAAAATAAGAGTGTAGTATTAACGAGCACCAAGAGTGGGGTAATAGAAGAAGAGGAATTGGCGGGAGACTGGTAGGTGGAAACCATAGCAGAAGTCTGTGGATGAAAATTCTAGTGGGCTGCCAGGAATTTTTAGCATGCACAAAATGTTGTATCGGAAAAGGTGATAAAATAAGCTTCTGGGAAGATGAATGGGATGGAGACATTAAATTAAAAGACAGATTCCCAAGAATATATGAGATCATGCAAAAAAGGGACACCAAAGTTAAGCAGGCATATTTTGGGGATGGGGAATACAAATTCTGGGATGTGCAAGTTAAAAGAAATTTGAATGATCGAGAGATAGATGAGTTTCAACAATTAATCATTACGGTCTCTCAAGCAAAAATGGGTCAACATGAGGATTTTAAACAATGGATGCCAGAAAAAAGTGGGGTATTTACTGTAAAATTGTTTTACCAACAACTCGAAGCAGATACAAGGATAAAGGGGACAGATTTTCCACATAGGCAAATATGGAAGACGAAAGTACAGCGAAGAATGGGTTTTTTCGCATGGGAAGCTTGTAGAGAAGGTATATTAACCGTTGATATGTTAATGAGGAGGGGCAGATGCTTGCTTAATCGTTGTTTCATGTACAAAGCTAATGAGGAATCATGTAATCACTTACTGCTAGGGTTTCCACTGACTTACAAATTATATACAATGATTTATGGACTCTTCGGAATAAATTGACCAATTGCAGACTCCGTGAAACCTGAAATATGGGCATAGACGGGTTTGTGCAAAAAGAGAAATAATTTTATGATTATTCCATTATCGGTTTTATGGTAGTATGGAAGAGAGAAACTCAAGAGCTTTCGAGGGAATTGAAAAATATTTCAATTGTATTATGGATAGATGGATACAAACTTTTGATTTTCTATTGTTCGGTCATGATGTTTCTGATGTAGACGAATTTGGAATGGTGCTACATCATTTGATAGACATGTAAATGCTGTGTAATTGGGTGGTACCCTCTTGGTACCAATCTCTTAATACAACTTCTTTTACTTCAAAAAAAAAAATTAACGAGCACCAAGAGAGTGGAACCCGTATAACAAAACTCATGTCTATCAACATATAAATCAAGTCCCTTTAATCCTCACTGGTGTAAAGATGACGATCCTTTATCAAAAGACAGTCTAGAACCAAGTATTCTTACTCCTATCAAAAGACTATTTGATGCCTTCTATTTTTTAAAAAATAAAAAGTGTAAAGTGTGATATTAATATGGACACCAAAGGGGAGCCAATCCATGTACAAAAGTAGAAAAGCCCATCCGATGCCCTTGAAGACTCTTCTATTTCTTTCTTCTGATAAAACCCATAGTGTGATTAGCAGGATAATGCCTAAAAGTCTTGTTATATCTTTTATCCCCATGGATGCCGATCCAAGCCCATACTCCTCTTTCATCAAACCTGTCATGGCCAGTTTACCCCCATAAAATTATTAGCCAAAACCAAAAGCCAGTAGGAAACAGGAAATGAAGGAAGGATGCAATTGACCAAATCTGCAGCTCTCTTACAAAAGAGACAACCACTCATGATGATCTTCCTACTCTTGATCAAGTTGTCTACAGCAAGTATGCAACTTCTCATCACTTCCCACACAAAGAAGGCAACCTAGAAGATGCTTTGATTTTCCATATTAGCTTCCATGTGAGCTTTTCTAAGGTCCTTCAGTTTGTGGCCAAATGGGAATAGAAGGATTTGACCAAAAAGGTCTCCCTCAAGCTAAATTTCCATACCGGGTTCACCCGCAACTTCATAAAACCATTCCCATCGAGAGACATTGGGTTAAACTGGCATTCTCATTTACCTCCCAATCACTGAGGCTCCTTGCTAGGTCCACAGTCCAACCTCATTATCCCTTGGGAATGAGACAGAATCTGCCACAATCGCCTCTTTATTCCGGGCCAAAGAGAAAATCATTGGAAAACAGTGCTGTAACTTGTCTCCTTCCATGCATCTCAATGTGATGGTGCAACTTCCATTCATAAGGTATTATCATTTTCTAGGGTGCTGATGCAAGTGACTAGAAAGGAAGCAGAAGTGACAGGAAAAATTGGAGGCACAACAGTTGCACTTGTGATTTTTCAGACAGCGCTGACCAACAAAGACCCAAATCTAGGACCAAGCAGATACTAGAGATTGGGAATCAAGCAGAGATCAAGGATCCACACCCAGGCAAAGACTCTATAATATAATGGAAATTTTTGTTTTTAGTTAAGGTATTACTGAATTTTCAGTCAAAATGTTTATATTGTGACATTTCCATCAATTTAAGGTTGAAATGGCTGGTCTCTGAAGAAATAAAAATAGCACAAACTAGGAAATTCCTGGTCAATAAGCCATTATGATCACTAGCTCCCAAACTAGGGACCGGGACACAAAAACCAAGACCGACCCAAACTTATTGCTTGACCCAACCTTCATGTGTTTGTTATAACTAACATACCCAGAAAACTTGTTATCAAAAATTCATCATGCAATTCAGAATGACAATCTAGTAATTGAGATACAAGAGAGTAAAGTGGGTTCCCAAATCAAAATATTCGAAGATTCTGCACACAGAACCTTAAGATTTTCACACGCCTAATTCTATGTGTCACTAAGAAGACCAAAAAGATTATTCTACATCTCTAAACATCAAATGTAAACAACAAATTATAACAACACAGGAAAGATCAGCCCAGAAGATAGATCTGGTTTTAAGTGAAAGTAACTAACAACAATGAATTTTCTCTCCCCCCAGAAATTAGAGCCACAAATGAAAAATTATATCGATTTCAGATATAATGTGTCACCTGCTCAGCAAGCTTAAAGCTGTGAGTTCGCATGTACTCC